TAAGGCAAAGGACACAGTCAACAAGACAAAAAGGCTGCCTACAGAATGGGAAAACATCTTCACTAACCCCAAATCTGACAGAGGGCTGATCTCCAAAATATACAAAGAAGTCAAGAAACTAGACATCAAAAATACCAAATAATCCAATTTAAAAGTAGGGTCAGTTCTCAACAGAGAACTATCAACAGAGGAATCTCAAATGGCCAAAAGGCACTAAAGGAATTATTGAACATCTTTCACCATTAGGGAAATTAAAATCAAAACAGCTCTGAGATACCATCTTATACCTGTCAGAATGGCCAAGATCAAAAACATTAATGGCAGCTTATGTTGGAGAGAATGTGGAGTAAGGGGAACACTTCTCCATTACTGGTGAAAGTACAAACTTGTACACCCACTTTGAAAATCAGTATGGTGGTTTCTCAAGAAATCTACATCAAGACCCAGCTGTATCATACTTTGACATATACCCAAAGGATGCTCAATCACACCACAGTGACATTTATTTCTAATTCTTAATGTGTTTAGGGAACTGCTTGATGTGAAGTTTTATTTGAGCATATGAACTAAAACTGTTGCTCGACTTTTTGCTAATTAAATACAATAATGTGCCAACAGTTTTTGTTTTCTTCCTTATTCCAATCGTATTTTTTCTGTTCCTATGTCTTTTTAATGTTACATTTATTTGAAACTTTTGAGTTCTGAATCCTCTAGAATAGACTATAATTATTGGATATTAGATAGTCAGCAGCAAAGTTAAGTTTAGCACACATCACCACTTGGCATCCTGCTGCTAAATTAAACTAAACATTTGTTTTAAGGTTGTCTTGTGTACTTTTGAAACCTAAGTAGAACATTTCAATATCCTTTATAATACAGCATTTCAGCACTTGTGAATTAACAGAGACATTGCAGGTAACAGGTTTTGAAGCTCACATTTTTACCACCAAAGGCAACTCCTTTGTATGTCTGCCTTTAGAACATACCTGAGGTTTATATTGCTTTTGTAAAATATTTATAAAATTCTGAAGTGTCTTTAATAGCTGGCAATCAGTTACTACAGTGCTATAAGTTAATTTTAGATTCTTTTCTTAAATTTTTTTCTGAAAATAAGCCTGATTTCTGTGCATAAAATTTAAAAAAAGATTTCATGAAAATTATATTGCGTTAAAAATAAAACAAGATTTTTTTAAGTCTTAGCAATTCCTGGCATATAAATGAAGGAAATTATCTGCCTTAGAAATTGAATATGTATTTATTTATTCTCATAGTTAAGTTCAGGTTTGTTTCATTTAAGATTTCTACTAAAATCTTAACAAAACACAGTCTTTTATGTTTTAAAATTGTATTAATGTTTATATTTAATTGATATGTTATAAAAGTCACCATCTCAGTTCTTTACTTAATTTTAATATTTGTGTTACTCAAACTAACTCATACAAAGTCTATAATCATCTAATACATTAGTAATTCATTTTTTAAATTCTTCCTTTAAGAATTCTTCAGTTGACCCAAAAGATTGCAAGTTAAACATTGTCATCAATTTTCAGAAACTGTGATTTAAAATAGGAAAGACCTACAAGAAAATTACTAGTTTTACCAGTTTCCCCAGTGTCTAAAAATACATGGAAATAAATCACCATTATTAGTATAGTCCTTCAAAATAATGTTTTATATTTTATGTAGTTTGTTTAGATAATGTGTATCAAGAAAGAAAGGTATCATTACTGCATTGTGACTGTGGGAGCATGTCATTTGTCATTTCACAAGAGCAAACCCTGGTGAGAGTGACTGTTCTGTGGCCATAGAGGCAAATGTGGTTTTGGATATTTTTCCTACTGGTCCCTTAGGGTAAATATGCACACCTGTGATCCTAGAAGTCTCATATTTTAATTGCTTCATGGGAGTAATATTTTAGCTAAAGAACTTCCCTTTTCAAAATTAATTTCTTCCTTGTCTTTATAAAATCACAGTCTTCACAACCTTATATACATGCTTATTTGGGTGGATAAATGTTACTTTCAAGATCTTAAAGAAAATTTCTTTCTTGAAATCAAAGTGGCTAAGAATATTAAAATCTACTATGTTCCTATTACAACACAGACACTTCAAAGTCTTGACTGCACTTCTGTAGTATGCACTAACTACGTGTACCCATTTATTGCTTATTGGTGTTAGCATTTGTCTGTGTGTGCATAAAGAACTCACTGAAGACTTTGGCGCTGGAGACTATCTGCTTCTTGTTTAAACTGTGATATGTTCATTCTCAAAGGAATGTATGCCCTTAATATGCTCTGTCTTAACACACACACACACACACATGCACTCCTGGAATATGGAAGGTTTAAATGTATGAGATATTTATATCAAACACAAAAAGTGCTTTGTTTAACATTTCATTTTCACTAATGGGACTTTAGATGCTCACCCATGTGTTGCATTCATTTCTTCTTTTACTAGTCTCCTCTTACATTATTATTTAGGGAAATAATTTAAGTGAACCCAAAATATGAGGAGAATGTATTCAAACTAAAATGCAAGAAAGTATTTATATCAAAGAAAGTAGACATTTGTGACATCTAAAACAATGGCAGTTTGAACAATGCTCTATAATCTGAAGCTTTGGATAATCCAGTTCATAAATTGTTGAAGTTTATGTATCATTATGCACCAACAAACGTTCTCTGTTTTGACAGATGAACATTCCTTATGTTTAGCCTAGAAAAAAATTATTTCATTGGTTAGTTTCACCATAGTATAATTCAGATCCCCAATCATAAATTTTCATTTAAATCTACTTTCTACAATCATGGAAATGCTAATCAAGATCCAGTAGGGTCTCATTCTTGTTGAACCTTCCAGTTTACAGGGCAGACGACACAAACTTGTTTATCATTATGGCAACGGTCCGGGTGTTTCTGACGTGCATTGTCAATAGATGCCATCAGCTACCTAAGCAGTTACCGCCTCTTTTCTCTCTCAGTGCTCAACCTGCACCCTCGAGTCTGGCGGACAGCCTCCGTCCTGAGGCTGAAGTATGGATGTCTTTCAAGGATCAAAGTTCTGTTTCCCGCGATGCAAACTGGGGGAGAGGTGAAAGCAGATAGTGTGCAGCTTGTTTGCATCACTTGGAAGCAGAGAGCTGCATTCGGGCATCTTTGTCCTTGGGACTTAAAGAGCCACTGAACACTTAAAGAACACTGATCAGTGTTCACAGCTTTTGTTTGCAAGTGCTTCCTACCTAACTCAGCTCAAACAGGAAGAAAACAGGAAGCTACAGGGAAGGACGGAAACAGGGCTGAATCAAGGGAAAGACAAAGCTCTGTGCTGAGGAACTCCACTCCTCCTCTCCCATTCACAGTTACAGACCTGGTATCTATGGAGGCCAAGGGCCCTTTGCCTTGACATAGAATTCAATGGCCTTGGGATGATGTCTGCATTCCTCAAAGGAGGTTATGCGATAAAATCTGTACATGAGGAGGCAGGGGAGGAAATGGCAGAACTCTTAACTCCTTTTGGATCTCTGATAAGACCTTATTGGGGAAATAGAGATTTTTGCATATGTAATCACGTTAAAATTTCTCATTAGACAGCCTCTTAATACAACATGATTGGTGTCTTCAAATGAATGTCATGTGAAGAAAGAACCAATAAATGCTGACTACCAGAATGCAAGGAACCACTGAGGTTACTCTAACTAGTTTAAACAAGCAAGCAGCCCCTGCTCAACAAGAGGCAATACAACCTGTTATCGCCTTGGATAGACTTCTAACCTAAGGCATAAAGAGGATATGCTTCCATTGTTGAAACCATTGATTTGATGATGTTCTATTACAGAAGTCAGATAAATTTAGTTATTGTTAATTCTGTAACTTTAACTTCTGAAGTTTTGCATCTTCTTTCTTATGGTACATACTCCTTACTCTAAATTAATATTTTGTGAGCCTGGACAAGTTCTTCATTCTCTCTGAGCCTTAGATTTCCGGCTTCTCAAATGTTATTGTGTGTTAAGTGTTTATACAAGTGTGTGCATATGTACATGTATTGTTGGTTCTACATCTTTGGAGAACCCTGCATAGTGTTTATACACAGGTTCATATAGACATTTACATTATCTAATTCTATCAATTCTAGAGTCATAGAAGCCAACACACCACAGTTACAATAGGCAGCACCAACACCTGCAACACTGATTTTTTAAAATATGTCTCTATAAAACAATATGCTGAGTCTACTTATTATTGTTATATATGTGTGTTTGTAGGTCTGATCACTTGGTTTTGAATAACCCATCAGGAGGTTCTTTGCTGGGGGAAAATTACTTGCCCTCTCTCATCACTATTGATTACCATCTTCCATCTTTTGAGATTTCCCTGATTCACAATGTGTATCAACTGGTGTCACTGCGGGGGTTTTGTTTACACAACCATATTGTTAAGATTTCATGGGTATGGCATTCTGTTTCATAAAGAAGACCTTATCTCACAGCAAGCACCCTGGTGCTCTTGCTCTTACAGTGTTACCTTCCCTTTCCTGAGATGTTCCCAGAGTCTTAGGTGTTGTGGATATATCCATTGGGAATGGGCATTCCACAGAGTATTGGTCTCTGCATTTTCACTCCTGAGGATTCTGAATTGGTTTCTGTCTGCTGTGAAAATAAGCTTCTTTGATGAAAAGTAAGAAATGTATATGTAATTCTCACACACATGCACGCATACACACACACACATCCCTGAATATATGAATGGATATCATATATCCATTGGGGATATAATTGGTTTAGGAAAGCTCTCCTCTATTGTCCAGAGGTAATTGAAAATAAGGCATGCATTTTCTACTATTGAGCAGTACTCATCTCTAATTAAATAGTTATTGGTTTAATCAAAGTATAAGAACCACTATTATGTCCTTGGGTATATCTTGTTGTACTGGTCATTCCTGAGGTCCATAGGCTTTAAATCTGGGTGGAAATTTTAATTGCCTTTTTTTTTCCTTAACAGCATCTTCATATGCAATGAGAGCTACTCTTCAGGTAGGAGGCTTCCAGGTCAGTATCAACTCAATTCCTTCAAGTCCTATGTACTATGAAAAAAAAGCCAACATGTCTTGCCATCAGTAATTAGGGTATTACTTTCAAATTATAGAAGCAACCAAGGACAACCACAATGTGTTTCTTGTGTAGTCTTTATTCTTTGGGTATATGATCCCTCTTCTATTTCTGTTTTCCTTGAAATAACTCACTTTTCTAAATTGTGTTCTATTCAATATGAGCAGATGACTGGACACATTTTAATATGACTGCAAGCATTCAATTTAGTCTCCTCTTCCTCTCCCTCTTACTGCCACCTTCACCCCTCTCCTCTTCTTCCTTCCTTCATCCTCCTCTTCCTGTACCTCGTCCTATTCCTCCTCCTCTTTCTCATATCCTTTGTATTTCTTTCAAATTATTTCATCACTCTATTTTTTAGTTCCTGTAATTCCAGACGTGGGAAAGTGATGGCAGGAAAATGATGAGATCAAGATCATTCTCCAGAACATACTGAGTTCAAGGCCAGGCTGAATTATATGAAACTTAGTCTCAAAACATTGTTTTTGAAATTAAAAAGCCTGTGCTATATTTGTGGCTGTTGTCTCCTGTTTCATGAAGTAGACTCCTTCTAGGTAATTTATTTATTTATGTTGGCTTTTCCTTATTTCTAACTTGCCTAAATTGCCCACTGGATTTTGATTATCCAGTTATGTTGGTCCACAACTATGGGTTCTGCAATATTCAATCACCAGTTTTTGCTTCAGTATGAAATCAGTGAGCTGGAAGGTTAACAATTGCTTTCCTTAATATCAGGGCAGAGCTGATGCTCTTTTGGGTGGCTATACATGCAACTGCTATTAAACATGAAATAGGGTAAAAAGGCCGAGTTGTCAGAGACTTCTTCCAAAATAATAGGCCAGGCTATGCAGCCCAGGGGTGGGGGTGCAGTCTAGGATTTCTGGACAGATATTAAGGGGTTCAGTGGGTGGTGGGCAGTGTCTTCCCTGGGGTCCCCAGGTCCACTCTGGCCTCTAATAAAGCTAATGGACTGTGGGCCCTAGTGTGGAGCTCAGTGGAGGGGATGAGGAGCCCACATAATGGATTCTTACTCAGCTGTTGAAAACAAGACACCTGGAAATTTGAAGTTAAATGAATGGAACTAGAAAAAAAATCATCTTAATTGAGGCAATCCAGAACGAGAAAGACAAACATGTTACATACTCACATAAGTGGATTATTAGCTGTAAAATAAAGGGTAACTATACTATAATCCACAGCCCTAGAGAGAATAGGTAACAAGGAGGGTTCATGTGGGGACACCCAGATCTCCCTGGAAAGAGAAAATAGAAGAGATTTCATGAGTGGACTGAAGGCAGGTGAGGATAGTACAAGAGTGATGAGGGTGGGGGGCACAGAATGGGTGAGTCCTGCAGGAGACCACCGGAAAGGGGTCACTTCTGGCTCAGGGAAAGACCTGGTGCAAGGGGATCTCCTAGGAATCTAGAAGGATGACCCCAGCTAAGATACCTAGTGATGATGGTTATATAGCCTGAAGTAGTCATCTCCTGTGAACAGATTTTGCCTGCCTCAATTGTCATCAGAGAGGCTTCACCCAACAACTGATGGAAACAGATGCAGACTCAGAGTTCTGGGAACCCTGAAGAGAGGAGAAAGGACTGTAGGATCCAGATGGGGTCAAGGGCATGACAAGAAAACTCACAGAATCAACTAATCTGAGCTCATAGCGGCTCACAGAGATCAAACAGACAATCAGGGAACCTGCATGGGACTGACCTAGGCCCTCTGCATATATATCACGGTTGTGTAGCTTGGTCCTCTTGTGGAACTCCTAACAGTGGGAGCAGGAGCTGTGTCTGACTCTGTTACTGGCTTTTAGGACCCTACTCCTCATACTGGGTCATCTTGCCCATCCTTAATATAAGGGGAGGTGCTTAGTCTTATTGCAACCTGATATGCTATCTTTTGTTGATACTCATGGGAGACCTGCCCTTTCCTAAACAGAAAAGGAGGAGGAGTGGATTCTGGGGTGAGAACAGAGTCATAGGTGGGGGAAGGGACTGGAAGGAGGACTGCAGCTGGGATGTAAAATAAATACATAAACATGTCTATTAAATAAACGAGACTGACCGGCAAATATTCTGTAGTCAGTTGTGGGAAGGAATAGATTAATAAATAAGTCCCTCAAGTTTTGCCGTGAAGGGTGTTTGCCCCATGTAGTTCAGGAGTGCCTGGTGCCTCCTCCCAGGTACTGGCTTCTCCCGATCTCATACCCACATATTCTGTGTCCACTGATTTCTGTCTTCTGAATATGTTGAATGTCTATGGATAGCTCTACATGGCTTACCTTATTGTTCTATATTTACACTCTTCAACAATAACTTCGGGTGATTCTCAGTTATAAAACAAGAACAGCAAACTATTCAAATCTCCTGTCAATAGTTTAAAAAAAGAAGCCTCCCTTGTACTTTTTGCTTATTGTTGTGGGGATAACAGACCTTGGCCAGAGACCCACTTCCCCATCAGCCTGGGACCAGGCAGCTGTAAGACAATGTTTACTAAAAACATGTTTACTAAAAACAATACAGTGCCCGGGGCAATAAGTCTCTGAAAAGGGCTCGCCCATGGGAACGCCCTGACCTCGACCTTTTCCAAAGACTAACCACCTCTTTCTAGCCCACCCACCTCCACATCTGGTGTCAGGGTATATAATAACCAGCCAAGGTAGGAATAAAGGAGAGCCTTCTTGAGGAGCCTTCTGGAAGCCACCTACGGGTCTCTGTGTCATCAATCCTGACACCCTCCGCACATTCTCAGATACAGGCTGTGCAGTAGGCTCGGCAATTGTTTTTACTAGGAAGATTTGCTCATTAAGAGAAACAGGTGATGGCTCAGAGGTTAAGAGCACTGACTGCTCTTCCAGGGATCCTGAGTTCAATTCCCAGCAACCACATGGTGCCTCACAACCATCTACAATTCAATCTGGTGTCCTCTTCTGGCATGTAGGCAGAACACTGTATATGTAATACATAAATAAATCTTTAAAAAAAAAAAAGAAACAGGTGCTTGTCCCTGTATTTTCAGCAGCCCTTGCTTAAATTCCAGTTATTCTAAGAGGCTACTACAAAAGAGAAACTTGAAAATTCCTAAACAATAACAGCACTGTTTGTGGAATAGAACTCTGGATCCCCATTCCTTATCTGCAATATGAAAAAATAAAACTATAATTTTCCCTCTCATTTTTTGTTTCTTAAAATTATTTTGTTTGTTTTTGAGGGATGGTCTTTCAATATAACCAAAGATGGCTTTGAATACATGATCCTCTGTCTCCAAATCTGTGTGCTAGCATTATAGATTACTAAGTCCAGCTTGAAGATCCTGTTTAAATGGGTGTATTCAGTTTTACACATCACCCTCAGCTATTATTTTAAATTCATAAATTTATATAAAAATCAATATTATAAGACAGAAACATTAAAAAATACATGTTTAAGTATACTACATAATACTTCCATAAGTGATTTTGTTAAATCAATTAAAAGAATCTCTCAGAATTTTACACAGTTCTTTCTATTTAATATGTCATGGCTTCATTATACACTCTGCTGTTTTACTTAGAAAATTAACAAGAAGCAGGCATTTGGTATTAAAACTTCTCAATCATTCGCTACTCTTGGACTTTAAGTCAACCAACTTCTTTAGGAATATTTTTCTTTATCACCGGACAGTATAATTACCTCTCAAGTAGAGTGGATCAGTGGCTTCAATGACATTTTAATGGGTTTAAGTGGATCCTGACCCTCACCTTATCTTATTTGTATGTGAATTTCCGGAAACCATTAGGCCTACATTCTTCATTCAGTTCAATTCTGTGGAAAAGTGTTGGTTCATTATTCACCCACCTTTCATTGTTTTTGCTTGTATGATAAAACAACATTTGTCTTTTTAAATCAATATCGTGAATATTGGACCCTTACTTTAATTATGGCATAAAAATAATGCTAAGTCCGTTTTAGAATCTTGCCTTGGAACATTCCATTTCCAGTTCCAGGAGTGGCCTCTGTCTAATCTAAACTCGTTTCAATAGGAGTGTAGGCCATCTTATCTTTCAATACTGGAAGTATTTATAGTCTCTTTATGTAGTGGCTGGTGGCTGTAAATGACCTATTATAAATCCATGCCCATCTTCATTTCTGTATGCATAGCAAAAGCTAAATTCAGAGCAAATGCACTGCAGTAGAGGGTTTGTATTCATTGTTTTGGTTGTCATAACTAATAAGCTTAGACAATTATATATGTGCCTTTTCCTTACTTCATAAGGTATCCTTAATTTTCTCCTGGGTGAGAAACAGAATTATCTTCTATTTGTTTATTTTATCAAATTGAAATCTTGTTGAATAATTCTTCACTTCAAAATTATGGTAATATCTATTGTCCTAGAATTGGAAGGGGGCTTTGGCCTCAGGGGGTCAGCCTGGTGAATTGAAAGTACTATAGACTTAAGGTTCAGCAGAGTCTCAGAGAGAACCTACATGAGTTAGAATTCCAGTCCATAGGTCTCTTCATTGTCATGTTAGGTCTGTTTTCAACCCACATCTCAGTGAATGAAATGAGGGGTTATTTCTAGCATCTGTTTTCTCTTTTTCTTTCATTCCACTGGATTGTCAATGTTATGCAAAGAATACGTATTTGTCTGTTTCTCTTCCATGGCTTCTAGTCAGATAACTGTATAAAGTGGCTCACAAGATGCATAATTTCAAAGACTGTCAGCATATTCTGTGTAGTTTAATCTCATCATACATGTCAATAAATATCTCAATAATACATTTTCAGTTATAGTATATATATATACATATATATATTGTTCTGTTCCAGATGAATTATAATTTGTTGCACAATTTTCTATTTCATAAAACAATTTTTCTATGAAGGTTTGGCTGGATTATATTTAAGCTTCTTGGCTGAATGTCACTGGCATTTTGGAGTGGATATTTCTTTGTTGGGTGTAGGCTACTGTTATGTGCCTTGTAAGGTTTATAGTACTGTCTCAAGTCTGAATGGACCAGTATTAAGTAACTCTTCATTCCTGAGCTGTTCAAAAAATTTTTTTCCAATACCTGAACTTGGGAACCATATCTCTAAGTGAACCATATAATAAATACATTTAGACATAAAATTGATTCACAGACATGACAGTTTGTCTAAGGATTAACATTTCTGGCTCATTTTAGAGATAGAAAAGTGATGTTTATGCAGCAAACATTTTAATCTGGACTACAGAAATTGGACTTTGTTTCGCAACGCGTCTGAGTTCAAGGCTTTTGCTAGCGCGGTTTCAGGTCCCTAATGCCTACTGTGGTTCTACATGTTGCCAGTTTACTTTTTGATGGCTGCTTCCACCTACTCCGGGCCTTGGTCATGCGGTGACCAAGAAGTCAGCGGTTTCAGGTTCATTAACGAAGGCCTCCAGGAGCCCTTGCTCAGGGAGTTGGAGGAAGAATGAAAGGG